TTATCGGGAGCTGTCTTGGGCAGAGTGACCACGAAATGCTGGAGTTCCCTCTTCTTGACGAGGCCAGGAAGGGGACCAGTAAAACCGCTGTATTGGACTTTCAGAGGGCTGACTTTGAGCTTCTCAGGACACTGGTTGGTAGAGTCCCTTGGGAGGTGGTTCTGAAGGGCAGAGGAGTCCAGGAAGTCTGGGCACTCTTCAAGAGGGAAATCTTAATGGTGCAGGAACAGTCTGTACCCACATGCCCAAAGACGAGCTGGCGGCGAAGAAGACCAGCCTGGCTGAACAGAGAATTGTGGCTTGAGCTTAGGAGAAAAAAGAGGGTTTATAATCTTTGGAAAAGTGGGCAGGCCACTAGGGAGGACTATAAGGATGTTGCGAGGCTGTGCAAGGACAAAATTAGAAAGGCCAAAGCTCATCTGGAGCTCAATCTGACTACTGCCGTTAAAGATAACAAAAAAGGTTTTTATAAATACATCAACACAAAAAGGAGGACTAAGGAGAATCTCCACCCTTTACTGGATGCGGGCGGAAACAGTTACAAGAGATGAGGAAAAGGTGGAGGTGCTTAATGCCTTCTTCACCTCAGTCTTTAGCGGCAATACCGGTTGCTCTCTGGATACTCAGTACCCTGAGCTGGTGGAAGGGGATGGGGAGCAGGATGTGGCCCTCTCTATCCACAAAGAAATGGTTGGTGACATTGAATGACTAGTACAGTACTTGGATGTGCGCAAGATAATTTTTTTTGTGCTTTCTCTGTCTCTTCTCCAGACTGAATTATGCAAGTGTGCTTGCTAAGCTTTTTAACCTACAATCAGTACAATACCATACTGAGGCAGCCGAAGTTTTAGGTTGGATATTAGGGGGAACTTCTTTACCAAAAGGGTTTTTAGGCATTGGAATGGGCTGCCCAGGGAAGTGGTGGAGTCACCATCCCTGGAGGTCTTTAAAAGACATTTAGATGTAGAGCTTAGTGACATGGTTTAGTGGAGGACTTGTTAGTGTTAGGTCAGAAGTTGGACTCGATGATCTTGAGGTCTCTTCCAACCTAGAGGATTCTGTGATTCTGTGAAGTCAATGGGGCAGGATGGGATCCACCCAAGGGTACTGAGAGAACTAGCGGAGGAGCTGGTCAAGCCTCTTACTATCATTTATCAACAGTCCTGGCTATCAGAGTAGGTCCCAGCTGACTGGAGGCTAGCAAACATGACGCCCATCTACAAGAAGGGCCAGAGGGCAGACCGGGGAAACTACAGGCCTGTCAGTTTGACCTCAGAGCCAGGGAAACTCATGGAGCAGATTATCTTGAGTGTCATCACACGGCACTTACAGTGCAACCAGGCGATCAGGCCCAGTCAGCATGGGTTTATGAAAGGCAGGTCCTGCTTGACGAACCTGATCTCCTTCTATGACAAAGTGATGCGCTTGGTGGATGAGGGAAAGGCTGTGGATATGGTCTACCTTGACTTCAGTAAGGCTTTTGACACTACTCCCCAGAACATTCTCCTCAAGAAACTGGCTGCTCATGGTTTGGACTGGCGTACGTTTCCTTGGGTTAGAAACTGGCTGGGTAGTCGGGCCCGAAGAGCTGTGGTAAATGGAGTCAAATCCAGTTGGAGGCCGGTCACTAGTGGCATCCCCCAGGGCTCAGTACTGGGGCCAGTCCTCTTTAATATCTTTATCGATGATCTGGATGAGGGGATTGAGTGCACCCTCAGTAAGTTTGCAGATGATACAAAGTTATCTGCTCTGGATAGGCAGGTCTATCCAGATCCTGCAGGAGGATCTGGATAGGCTGGACCAACGGGCTGAGGTCAACTGCATGAAGTTCAATAAGGCCAAGTGCCGGGTCCTGCACCTGGGGAGAAATAACCCCAGGTTATTTCTCCCCAGGTGCAGAGAAGGACCTGGGAGTGATGGTGGATAGTCGGCTGAATATGAGCCAGCAGTGTGCTCAGGTGGCCAAGAAGGCCAACAGTATGCTGGCTTGCATAAGAAGCAGTGTGGCCAGCAGGGCTACGGAGGTGATCGTCCCCCTGTAGTCGGTTCTGGTGAGGTCGCACCTTCAGTACTGTGTTCAGTTTTGGGCCCCTTGCTACAAGAAAGACATGGGGGTGCTCGAGAGAGTTCAGGGGCAATCTTATCACTCTCTACAGGTACCTTAAAGGAGGCTGTAGCGAGGTGGGGGTTGGTCTGTTCTCCCAAGTGCCTGGTGACAGGACAAGGGGGAATGGGCTTAAGTTGCGCCAGGGGAGTTTTAGGTTGGATCTTAGGAAGAACTTCTTTACCAAAAGGGTTGTTAGACATTGGAACAGGCTGCCCAGGGAAGCGGTGGAGTCACCATCCCTGGAAGTCTTTAAAAGACGTTTCGATGTAGAGCTTAGGGATATGGTTTAGTGGGGACTGTTAGTGTTAGGTCAGAGGTTGGACTCGATGAACTTGAAGTCTCTTCCAACCTAGAAGTTCTTTAATTCATTGATTCTGTGAACTGGGAAGGGATAAATTGGAAGTCCAAAAGGCTGTGGTGGGAGCCCTTGGGCCCATGCGTACAGGCCCAGCTGTGCCTCTGGTGCTTCACTGCAGGCGGGGAACAAGGCCTGGCCGGGAGCCTCTGGCAGGAAAGACCAGGAGAAAGCTGAGGTCATCCTCTTTACTTCTGGAGCGGGGCTGTAAGGATTAGAAGCCCATGATCCTCCAAATGAAAACAGAAGAGTGATGGGCAGTCATGCCCAAGAGAGTTGAAGACCAGTGGGTGCAGATGGCTCCCACAGTGCTGTGCTGGCAGCACTATGGCCCCAGCTGAGACTCCTTGAGAGTTCTTCATAAGATGGTTCACCAACATTCATCAATGGGATGAAGGAGAGATCTTCCCACACCCTTGGCAACTGCCGCAGAGCTCTCAAGTCACTTTGACCTTGGTGCAGGATGCCCCTGGCACAATTATTTGTATGGAGATCGAAGAAAAGCGGAGTGACCTGGTCAGAAGAAGGCAAAGAACATGGGGACAAAAGGCAGGAGGGCTTTGCAAGGAAGATGCTGCCCCTGAGACACAGAAAAAAATAGACAAACAGAGCATGCTGCTGTGTGCGAGAGGACAAAAATAACAGCGGGTCCTCAACAAAAGCAGCGGATGTAGCGGGGGCTGAGGCATGGCCGTCACTGATGAGAGATGATCAGTGTGGGCCAGGCTCAGGCGGCCACAGCAAGCCCACAGGACAGCTCCCAGCTGCACCGCAAGCCTCTGTCCCACCGTCCCCAGCTCACAGCAAAGCAGACACCTGAAGCAGACATTGCTCCCCAAAAGCAGCACCCCAAAAGTTGCTGGGGAAGGCGCCATGGGCAAGGCTGTCTCCTTCTGGCCCTGCCATCCTGCTGCTGGCCCTCTGTGAGTTGGGGCATTGCTGGGTGTGGGGGCTGAGGTCTGGAGGGATGCTGCTGGGGGCAGGACAGGGCTTTGGTGGCCACAGGGGAGGATGGGGAAAGCGTGTGTGATACAGTCGTGCTTAACTGCAGGGCAGAGTTGTTTTGGGGAAGGCAGGAGGTCACTGCCCCTCTGTGCGGGGCAGGCATGCAGAACTGCAGGACACAGTTGCGTCTGGGGAAGGATGGGTTGGGATTGCTTCCTCCAGCGACGATGCAGATCTGAGAAAGGGGCACACTTCTCCAGTACTAAAAGTTTGTCTGGAGCTTTTGTGTGAGACGTTCAGGATGCTGGATTCCTTAGAGATCCTGGGAACTCATACAGGAATATAAAGCACATCCAGACCAGGCTTGGGATGGTGCCAAGTGTGCAGATGAAGCAAATCGCAATTGGAAATGTGCGGGTGAGAAGTCCCCTGTTCAGGCAGGACTGAGCAACTGGGATGTGAGCAGGGAGGTGGGGGTGAGCTGGGTCTCTGCCCCTCTAAGGAAAGCCCTCTCTGCCCCATGCTGCAGGTGCTGTCTTGACCACCCAGGACATCTGCAGCTCTCCAGGATTGCAGGAGCATGGAGGTGGGTCCCAAAAATGAACGTGTTCTGGGGAAGGAGGTGGGAAGAGAGAAGGGGATTATTCCCTCACAATTCCCCCTGGAAACCCCAGGACAGCAGACTCCTCCAGCCTTGGCATGCAGTTGGTTTTGATACCCGGCAGTCACTAACTCTTGCCTGGGGAATCCCTCTGCCTTCTCCCCAGGTAACAACCTTACTCCAGTCCTGTACCTCAACGCTTCCAGTGCCAAGGAGGGGGAAATAATTTTCTTTCAGTGTGCCATTGATTGGCAGTTTCCTGCTACACGAGTTGTTTTCTGCAAGAATGGGCTGGAGGAGTTCAGCCTGAAAGCCGAGCAGGGCAAGGTCATCTATGCTCTGGTCCTGAACATCACCTCCAGAAGTGCTGGGACGTACAAGTGTGGGTACCAGAAGAGGAACGAGAGCAACTGGGTGAGGAACTCTGCTCTCAGTGCTTCCTGGACCTTGTCTGTGGCAGGTGAGAAACGGCCCCAGAGTGGTGAGGGTAGAAGGTTTTGGAAAACTGCTGAGGCTGGAGCTGTGTGCAGCAGCAGGCAGGGCATGGCTCTGGGGTGGTTCCCCATTGGGAGTGTTCCCTCTCCTCAGAGGCAGCCCCTACAGAGAGAAAGCTGCTCTCAAGGGCTGTCCCCGTCCCTGCAGCAGCAGCTCAGCTGAGGCATGGGGCTGTGCAGTGTGCAGTGCCCATGCAGAGAGAGCAAGAGCTGGGGATGTTGATGGACCCTGGGTTGAGCCCTGGATGTTCCAAGATCTGCCCTGTACATTGATGAGACTATGGCAGGGGAAGTGCTGTGATTGTCATGAGACAGGCTATAGCCTGTACATCAGCAACAGTGTGGGATGGTTCCAGAAGGGAGAGCACAGTGGTGCTGGTTTGAGACACAGAAAGGTGCCTGCTCAGCAAAAACAAACAGGAAGAAAAAGGACTCGGGTGTGGCAGTGTGCCAGGTCTTGGCCCCACTAAGAAAACTCCCTTTTGCCCCAAGGTGCAGGTGCTGGTGAGACCATCACTGATATCCAGAGCTCCCCAGGTGAGGACAAGCATGAGGGTGTGCCAGCTGCACGGTCACGTCCTGCTCCCTGCCTCTCCCCATCACACCCCGCTGCCCTCACACCATCTGTTCCCCGGCTCCCCATGCCCGGCTCCCGCACACCCTCCCCACAGCCATGGTGCTTGCAGTGGTGCCTCTCATCCTCATCCTCCTGGCTGCAGGCAGCTGCTTTGCCATCAGGAAAGTTGAGGAAGAGGGGAAAGGAGGGGGGAAGGCTGAGGAACTGGGGGTCCTGCTGCGGGCCTGGTGCAGTGGTAGAGGAGTCCGGGGGAACCTGGGGGTGCGCAGCTGGGGCAGACGGTGCCTGGGGGTGACGGCTGTGGGCAGCCCAGCTGGGGAGGCTGCTGAGGGAGCTGGGGAGCTTCAGCCTTCATCCCCCAGCCCCGAGATGGGAGCCAGGACTGGGCAGCCTGTTTGTGCCAGGTGAGATATGGCCCAAGGGTGGTTTGAACAGAAGGGATGGGGATACTGCAGAGGCTGGAGCTGTGTACTGCAGCAGGTAGGGCATGGCTGTTGTGTAGATCCCTCATGGGAGTGTTCCCTGTCCTCTAAGGCAGCCGCTAGAGAAAGAGCTGCTCCCAGACGTGCCCCTGTCCCTCCTGCAGCACCTCTGCAGCAGAGATAAGGCTGCATCGGGCACTGAAATTGAGAACAAGGGCTGGGGTTGTCTGTGGACCCTGGGGTGTTCCACTACCGCTCTAGGATGTCCCTCTAACCTTTACAAATCTGTGTCTGGGAACATACATGGAAAGGCTTGCTCATGTTCCCTGTGTGCTCAAGGAAGCAAGACATGAGCTCAGCATCTCCACAGCATCTGGGATTGTCCTAAAACGGACTTCAAGGGACTCACGGCATGTTCATGTCTCCCCCAGGAAGCAGCCCCTCACACAAGGCCCAGCTCCCTTCCAGAGGTGAGACACTGCTCATCAGCCCTTCCCAGCACAGCTGTCCTCCAAGGCTTGCCTTCGCCACACTGTGTTCCTCGTCTCTCCCAGGGTCAGCCATGCCCCTGGAGGTCTGGATCCTGCGCTCTGCACTCAGCCTGCTCCTGCTGCTGTCTGCCCCCATCATCACCCTCCTCCTGGAAAGATGCAGCCACAGAGCCCACGAGGCCAGGCAGCCTGGAGACGTCCCTGTCCCCATGGAGCTCTGATGTCCCCCTGAGCTCCATGCTGTCCCCAGCCTGCTCCCCCATGCTCAGAGCACGACCCCCACCGTGGCCAGGCTCCCGCTGCCATTGGGTTCAAGGCAGCTGTGACAGCATGCCCAAGGGATGTGCTGCCACTGCTCTGCTTCCCTTGGCTCAGCGCCTGCTCTCTGCTCCCATCAAGGATTACCACTGGATCGCAGACCCTCCCAGCTGGGTTCAACCCCAGCACCCACATGGCTGCCCTGCCTGCTCACAGAATTACATCTACATCACAGGATCCATCTCTGCATACCGGGAAAACACGAAGGGATGGAGTCACAGCTGCATCCCCAGGCAGCCATGCTCTGCAGCTCCTGCATCACTCCAGCACCTCCCTGTGCCCAAGGTGGTGCTGGCCGCGATGGGCACATCCCCAAGTGATTACAGTGCCCCCTCTCAAGGCACCTTGGTGGGTATTGGTCCTGTGGGAGGCGAGTTATAAAGGATTGGTTTAGAATGCACCAGCTGATGTTGCTGCTCTGTATTTGAGAGGGAAGCCAGAGAGCAGAGCTGGGAGAGCTGCTCTATGACTGCCATATGGGGCCATGTGTCCTGCGAGGGAGCTGCTGTTCCCTTTGCCCTGCCACCCAAGAGTTCTCCTACCTACTGGCATTACCCTGGCAGATGTGTCATGGAAAACTGCCTGAGATCTGAGGATGGCTGAGGCCATGTAGAGGTCCAGGAGGTGGCCATGCCTGGCACTCTGCACCCCATGCCCACCCATCCCTGTGCTGGATCTTCTGTCTCTCAATGCGCCATCTCTAGGAGACAGCCCTGAGCAGGGACATTGTACATGGGGGCATCCAGCTGTGGGCCAGGTGAGGATGGGGTCTCAGCATGGCTGGCCCCCACACCCACAGACCATCCACAGCCTTGCACTATGGGCTTTTAGCCATCCCACACCAATACCAAGAAGGAGACAAGGTGTCCCTTCTCTGCAGCTCCCAGTGCTGACATCTGGGGCCTTGGTGTGCAGTGGGGGACTCTGGAATAAGATGGGTGCAGGCAGGAGTGGAGCTGCTCAGCTGGGAGGCACGAGGGTGCAGGACTGCATGGAGGGAATATGGGATAGGAAAATGGGATCAAAACTCAGCAAGAGCTGCTTGGAGGCAGAGCTGGAGGGGACGTGGGTTTCAGGCTCCTTCCTGCAAGCACAGTCCCTCAACTCCCATGCCCTCATCAAAGCACTTGTCCCACAGCTTCCTTCAGGCCCATGCATGCATGTTTCACAGCACAAGCCTCCAGGAGACTCTTCCTCAAAGGGAATATACAGAGTTAGGTGGACGGAGCTACTCCCTCATTCCCATACAGCCTCCAACCCTCCCTGGTGAGCCAATCGCACTGTGGTGCCAGCTGCGAAATTTCTGAGGGTAACCCCTGACCAGCATCCTGAGAGTAATGAAGATATTGAATGGAATTCGACGTAAATAGGAAGAAATTAGGAAGAACTTCTTTATGAAAAGGGTTGTTAAAAATTGGAATGGGCTGCCCAGGGAGGTGGTGGAGTCACCATCCCTGGAGGCCTTTAAAAGACATTTGGATGTAGAGATTAGTGACATGTATAGATTACTGACATGGAGGACTTGTTAAAAATTAGTTACAAGAGATGAGGAAAAGGCGGAGGTGCTTAATGCCTTCTTCGCCTCAGTCTTTAGCGGCAATACCAGTTGTTCTCTGGATACCCAGTACCCTTAGCTGGTGGAAGGGGATGGGGAGCAGGATGTGGCCCTCTCTATCCACGAAGAAATGGTTGGTGACCCGGTACGGCACTTGGATGTGCACAAATCCATGGGGCCTGATGGGATCTACCCGAGGGTACTGAGAGAACTGGCGGAGGAGATGGCCAAGCCTCTTACCATCATTTATCAGCAGTCCTGGCTATCCGAGTAGGTCCCAGTCGACTGGCGGCTAGCAAACATGACGCCCATCTACAAGAAGGGCTGGAGGGTAGGCCCCGGGAACTATAGGCCTGTTAGTTTGACCTCAGTGCCAGGGAAGTTCGTGGAGCAGATTATCTTGAGTGTCATCACACGGCACTTACAGTGCAACCAGGCGATCAGGCCCAGTCAGCATGGGTTTATGAAAGGCAGGTCCAGCTTGACGAACCTGATCTCTTTCTATGACAAAGTGACGTGCTGGGTGGATGAGGGAAAGGCTGTGGATGTCGGCTACCTTGAATTCAGTAAGGCTTTTGACACTGTTCCCCACAACATTCTCCTCAAGAAACTGGCTGCTCATGCCTTGGACTGGCGTACACTTCATTGGGTTAAAAACTGGCTGGATAGCTGGGCCCAAAGAGTTGTGGTGAATGGAGTCAAATCCAGTTGAAGGCAGGTCACTAGTGGCGTCCCCCAGGGCTCAGTACTGGGGCCAGTCCTCTTTAATATCTTTATCGATGATCTGGATGAGGGGATTGAGTGCACCCTCAGCAAGTTTGCAGATGACACAAAGTTCAGATGACACATCTGCTCAAGGGTAGGAAGGCTCTGCAGGAGGATCTGGATAGGCTGGAGCGCTGGGCTGATGTCAAATGTATGAAGTTCAACAAGGTGAAGTGATGGGTCCTGCACTCGGCACACAACAACCCCAAGCAGAGCTACAGGCTGGGAGATGAGTGATTGGAAAGCTGCCTGGTAGAGAAGGACCTGGGAGGATAATCGTCCGAATATGAGCCAGCAGTGTGCTCAGGTGGCCAAGAAGGACAACAGCATCCTGGCTTGTCTAAGAAGCAAATGGGCCAGCAGGGCTAAGGAAGTGATTGTCCCCCTGGACTCGGCTCTGGTGAGGCCACACCTCGAGTACTCTATTCAGTTTTGGGCCCCTCTCTACAAGAAGGACATGGAGGTTTCCGAGAGAGTTCAGCCTGGAGAAAAGGAGGCTCAGGCATGACCTTATTGCTCTCTCTAGATACCTTAAAGGAGGCTGTAGAGGTGGGGATTGGTCTATTCTCCCACATGCCTGGTGACAAGATGAGGAGGAATGGGCTAAAGTTGTGCCAAGGGAGGTTTAGGTTGGATGTTAGGAAAAACTTCTTTACCGAAAGGGTTGTTAGGCATTGGAAGGGCTGCCCAGGGAAGTGGTTAAGTCCCCGTCCCTGGAGGTTTTTAAAAGATGTTTAGATGTTGAGCTTACAAATATGGTTTAGAGAAGGAGTTGTTAGTGGTAGGTCAGAGGTTGGACTAGGTGATCTTGAAGGTCTCTTCCAACCTAGACGATTCTCTGATTCTGTGATTTCATTACATTTCTCCCCACCCAATTCTCCATCCTGTCTAGGTCTCAATGGATGGAAGCACAGCCATGCACAGTGTACACAGCATGTCAGCCACTCCTCCCAGTTTAGTGTCATCAGCAAACTTGCTGACAGTGCACTCTACTCCCTCATCCAAGTCATTGAAGAATATATTGAATAGCACTGGTCCCAGGACCGACCCTTGAGGGACTCCACCAGATACAGGCCTCCAACTCGCCTCCACCCCATTGACCACAACCCTCTGGCTTCTTCCCTTCAGACAGATCACAGTCCACCTCACTACCAGATCACCCTTCACACACTTCAGGTTAGCTGCGAGGATGCTGTGTGTGGGAGACGGTGTCAAAGGCTTTACTGAAATCAAGATAGACCACATCTACTGCTTTAATATCATCTATCCTCCCACCTATATCCTCATAAAAGGCTCTCAGTTCGGTCAAGCATGACTTCCCCATTCTGAATGCCCCTAATGACACCTTTATCTTTGAGATAACTAGAGACAACGCCAGGTCTAAATTGTTCCATCAACTTTGCAGGGATGGAGGTGAGGCTGACTGGTCTATAGTTACCTGGGTCATCCTTCTTTCCCCTTTAGAAGACTGGACTAACATTTGCTTTCCTCCAGTCCTCAGGCAACATTCCTGATGCCCATGACTTACCACACATGATGAACAATGGCCTAGCAATGACTTCCACCAACTCCTTCAGCTCCTGGAATGAGCATCTTGAGCATCCCATCATGACCCGTGGATTTATGGACGTCCAGAGATGTTTATTTTTCTTCTAAACAAAACCACATCTGCAGCACACACACCACTTGGCAGACACATGCAAGTACATCCCTGCAGTGATACCGGTCCCTATAGGTCCAAATGTCCATCTGTGTGGGTGCATGGAAGAGCAGCCCTGTGACTTTATCATGCAGTTTAGGAATACATAATTTCCAGTGAGCACAGGGAGATGGTTTCACATGAGGAATAACCATTGATACACTCACAATATTACTTGGTACACCTGATATATTTTAGAGGTATTGATTTATTGCAAACTGAGATATGAATCCTTCAACATCTTGGCTAGGCACACACAGCCTTTCCCTGTGACAGAAGAAAAAAAGAACCCCGAAGTGCACCCCCCCAGCCCAACGGTATGGTTGCAAGAGCTTCCTACAAGACAGTGAAGGCAAACATGGGCAAAGCTCCTGTGCCCTTGCCCTGTGGCAGTGCTATCGGGTCTGGGTGCGGGTCACCGTGGCATACGTTGTGGTGTCGCTCATCTGCTGCATGGGAGGAGGCTTTAGGGATAAATGAAACCCTGTTACTTCAGCTGCTGACTGTGAGCCCTGCACAATGAGCGTGCATCAGGCTGCAGGAGTGCAGAAAGGAGCTGTGCACAGCTGTGCCATGACTCACCCTGTCCCGTCGAACATGGGCGATGGTGGAGTCTGTGGGGAAAAAAAACACACCATGAGCCCTTGCTGATTGGAGGCGGGTGAACCCCCGTGAGCTTTGGGCATCAGCTGCCTGGGGTTAACACTCAATGCCTGACCACATTTTCCCTCCCATCACCCTGATCTGGGACGTGCATTAAGCAGCAGTGGAGCAAAGATGCTGAGGTTTTGGTGTCTTTCCACCATTCTGTGGCATTGCCTCTCTGCACAGCCAGCACACCTTGCAAACTGCTCTGTGCAGGCATGGGTAAACGAGGTTGTGCTGCAACTCGTCCTGAGAGCACATCAGGTGGGGATATATCTATAGCCTGTCGCCCAACCACAACATCCTCCCTTGGATGCTGCCTGTGGTTTCAGAATGAGCTATAAAATGTTTTCCCCAGCAGTGCAAGGAAACAGAGCTACAGCTTTCATTGCTGTGATGTGCTTTGTGTAGTTCTTGAAGCAGAAATGACACTGAAGAGAAACTGAAGAAAGGACAAAAGCAGAGGCTGAAGCAGGGGAAATGTAGCCTGAGGCTAGAGCCGGTGTGGAAGGACCCCCCAAGCAAATGGGCTTTGTCCCTGGGAGCACTGGGATGCTGCCATGTCCCTTGTGCAGGCAGCAGCCGCACGCACTCTGCATGCAAGGAAGAAGCAGGACGTGAGGTGCTGGAGAGAAACCTGGCCTTGATGAACGAGCAGGGATTTTGTATGTCCCAGTGGGAAATGAAGGGGTGGGATTGCATGGGGGCTCGCACAGGATTCTCATGGGGAGAGGAGCATGTGGCTTTCCCCAAGGGAGGAGGTAGTACTCACACTGGATGTCACCATAGTTGGTGTCTTCTGTCTGTGGGCTGTCAACGTGCTGCTGCCTGGAGAGGAATGGAATGGTTGTTGGGTGTGTGTTTGTGGTGAGGTTGCCACATGAGAAACACACTTGGGTCGAGCTTTCCTACTTCATGTGGTGAACTGGAGTGCAGCAGATAGCAAGCTCCATTCTCCCTGCCTCCAGCACAGGGAATGCAGCCACACACAAACACAGAGAACGCTGCCCCTGGCCAAGGAGCACCACAGGGGCCTGCCATGCACCAGCTCACTCCCCCATACCCCACAGCCAGCAGCCCTTGGTGCTCACCTTGGGCATCTCCCTCTGCAGGCACCTGCAAGAAGAACAGGGGCTGAGGTGCACAGGCCAAGGTGCTGCCCAGCCCTGGCTCCCATCTTGGGGCTGGGGGATGAAGGCTGAAGCTCCCCATCTCCCTCAGCAGCCTCCCCAGCTGGGCTGCCCACAGCCATCACCCCCAGGCACCGTCTCCCCCAGCTGTGCACCCCCAGGGTCCCCCACCACCTTTCCCACTGCACCAGCCCCCAGAAGGACTCCCACGGCCTCAGCCTTTCCCCCCACTTTCCCCCACTCCCTCACCTTTCCTGATGGCAAACCAGCTGCCTGCAGCCAGGAGGACAAGGCCGATGGCCGCCACTGCCAGCGCCATGCCTGTGGGGAGGGTGTGCGGGATCCGGGCATGTGGAGCTGGGGGAGAGAGTGTGTGAGGGCAGTGGGGTGTGATGGGGAGAGGCAGGGAGCAGGACGTGCCCGTGCAGCTGGCACAGCTCCTGCCCTGTAAAGCTCCTGCTTCTCCCCATGCCCTGGGGAAGGCAGCACAGCACGCCCACTCCCCATGCTCTGTTTTCTGAGGGTGTAGGAGGGAATCACTCACCTGGGGGTGATGGACTTGCTGGGGAACTCACCACATTGCCTGGCAGGATAAAAGGACAGGCTTAGTGTCTACAGTGCACCCAGATCATTCCCAGAATGAGCCTCAGCCCCATGGCCACATCCCCCCACCGACAGCCAGCACCATCCCCAGGGGAGTCACAAAATTGTCCACGGTATCTGTGCCAACCTGGACCCCCACAGATCCAGTGACTAAGTGCTGTTGTGAAGGATAAAAAACGGCATGGCAGAGGTGTGCCTCTTCATTTAACACCACCACTCTCATCTGTCTGTGATTATGGGGGCTAGAGGATCACACAATCACAGAATGGCCAAGGTTGGAAGGGACCTCTGAAAGTCATGGAGTCCAGCCTTCTGCTGAGCAGGATCAGCAAGGACAGACTGCACAGAATGGCATCCAGGTGGATTTGGAATATCTGCAGAGGAATATCTCCACAGCATCTCTGGGCAGCCTGTTCCAGTGCTCTGTCACCCTCCCAGTAAAGAATTGCCCCTCATATCCAGATGGAACTTTCTGTGCTTCAATATGAGCCCGTTGTCTCTCGCCCTTTCCCTGGGCAGACCAGCACCATTCTCTCAACACCCTCCCCTCAGATATTTATAGACATGGATGAGGTCTCCCCTCAGTCTCCTCTTTTCCAGGCTAAACAGGCTCAGTTCTCTTGGCTCCAGACCTCTGACCATCTTTGCAGCCTTCCTCTGGACTCTCTCCAGTAGTTCTATGCCCCTCTTGTACAGGGAATCCCAGAACTGGACACAAAATGCTTTGTGTTCCATGCAGGGAAGTGATTCCTTCCCAGGAGCTCTCACCCAGAGAACAAATTCCCTCTCCCTTGCCATCACCACCCCACACACACCTCTCTTCAGTCACCCATCCCCACGCTCAACCTCACCTGGGGAGCTGCCGATGTCCTGGGTGGTCACGCCAGCAGCTGCAACTTGGGGCACAGAGGGTTTTGTTTAGAGGGAGTGAGAGCTGGGGCACCCACACGCTTGTGCCCATGACCCTGCTGCTGGGTCCTTGCCATGTCCTCCCTGCTGTGTCCTTGCCCAGCTCATGACAGTCATCCCACTTGCCCTGCCATAGGCTCATCAATGCACAGGACAGACCTTGGAGCATCCCTGGCTCAAACCAGCAACCATCCACATCCCCAGCCCTTACTCTCTCTCCCCAGGATCTGCAGAGCCCCATCTCTGCAGCAGAGGTGGTGCTGCAGGGACACGGGACCCTTTGAGAACAACTCTCTCTCTCTAGGGGCTGCCTTGGAGGAGAGGGAACACTCCCGTAAGGGAAGCACCCCAGAGCCTGCTGCAGCACACAGCTCCAGCCTCAGCACAGCCATGTGGTGGCAAGTGCCTCCGTCCCTTCTCACCCCTCCAGCCCAGGGCCATGACTCACCAGGGACATTCAGGATGCGGCCAGCACTGAGGGCAGAGCTCCTCCTCTGTTTCATCTCATTCCTCTGCTGGTACCCACATGTATATCTTCCTGCGCTTCTTGACGTGATGTTCAGGACTGTGAAGTAGCTCAGCTGCCCTTGCTGGGCTTCCTGGCTGTACACCTCCTTCCCATCCTTGCAGAAGATGATTCGTCTTGTATGTGAAAACACATGGAGAATACACTGGAGCACAACTGTGGTACCTGGCTGAGCAGAAGTTAAGTTCATTTGGAAAGCAGGAGCTGGAAGATCCCCTGCAGGAGACACAGCAGTGAAGGGCTGCCATAGGGCAGAGCTCACAGTAGTTGGGCTACAAAGTGCCCTGGGTCTGGGAGGGAAGGACTCACGAGTACCTGGGGAGCTGCAGATGTCCTGGGAGCTCATGCTGCCACCTGTATCAAGGGGCAGAGAGGGGTTTGCTGAGAGGGGCAGTGTCCAAGCTCATCCTGATGCCCCTGCCAAAATCCTCACTGATAAGCAGCCACCATCACACATGCATGTTCTCATGCTATATCACTTCAACATCCCTTCATACAATGCCAATCCCAATGCCTTTTCGGGTGGATTTCTTGTTCCAGGTAAGTCCCATAGCTCCATAAAGAATTCAGCAGTCGTAGAGCCTCAGAGCAACACTCCAGACAATTTATGGTGCTGGAGAAGTGTGCCCCTTGCTCAGATATGCATCATACCGGGAGGAAGCCATCCCCATCCTGCTTTCCCCAGAGCAACGATGCCCTAAAGTGCTGCACACCTGCCCCGCACATACTGTCCCCATCCTCCCCTGAGCTCACCACCAGCCTGTCCTGCTCCCAGCACCAGCCTTCCAGCCCTCAGCCCCCATGCCCTGCAATGCCCCAACTCACAGATCACCAGCAGCAGGACGGCAGGGCCAGAAGGAGACAGCCTTGCCCATGGTGCCTGCCCCAGCATATTTTGGGGCACTGCTTTTGGGGAGCAGCGTCTGCTTCAAGTTTCTTCTTTGCTCTGAGGTGGGGACGGTGGGGCAGAGGCTTGCGGTTCAGCTGGGGGCTGTGCTGTGAGCTTTCTGTGGCTACCTGAGCCTGGCCCACAGCCAGAGGCTCTCATCAGTGGGGGCCTTGCCTAAGAACCTGCTACATCCGCTGCTTTTGTTGAGCCCCCACTGTTTTTTCTCTCCTCTCACACACTGCAGCACACGCTAGTTTTACTTGTATCTCAGCGGCAACATTGTCCCTGTAATGAGCTCCTGCTCCTTGTTCCCACCCGGATTTTCCCTCGTCTGACCACATCACTCTGCTTCTCTTCAATGTCTAGACAAATGATGGCATCAGGGGAATCCTGCACCAAGGCCAAAGTGACGCCAGAGCTCTAGGGCATCTGCCAAGGCTGTGGGCAGATTTCTCCTTCACCCTGTTGGTGAATCAGCTTATTAAGAACTCTCAGGGAGTCTCAGCTGGGGCCATACTGCTGCCAGCACAGCACTGTGGGAGCCATCTGCACCCACACTTTGACCCTCATGCGACCACACAACAACCAGGAAAGGCAGAGGCTTCGTCCATAAGGCGCCTGAGCTCCCCCACGCTGCTCTCTCAATTCCCTTCCTCAAAGGAAGGCGCTGAGCCAAGGGAAGCAGACCAGTGGCAGCACATCCCTTGGGCATGCTGCCACAGCTGTCTTGAAACCATCAGTAGCGGGAGTCTGACAGATGTGTGGGGGTCATGCTCTGAGCATGACAGAGCAGCATGGAGCCCAGGAGGACATCAGAGCACCATGGGGACAGGGACGTCTCCAGGCTGCCTGGCCTCGTTGGCACTGTGGCTGCATCTCTCCAGGAGGAGGGTGATGATGGGGGCAGACAGCAGCAGGAGCAGGCTGAGGGCAGAGCGCAGGATCCAGACCTCCAGGGGCATGGCTGACCCTGGGAGAGAGGAGGAACACAGTGTGGCCAAGGCAAGCCTTGGAGGACAGCCTTGCTGGGAAGGGCTGATGAGCAATGTCTCACCTCTGGAAGGGAGCTGGGCCTTGTGTGAGGGGCTGCTGCCTGTGGGAGACATGAACATGCTGTGAGTTTATGGAGCTCTGTGCTGGGACAATCCCAGATGCTGAGCAGACCCTGAGCTCATGTCTTGCTTCCATGTGTACATGGTGAGCATTAACAACCGAGCTCATGTAAATTCCCAGACAGAGGTTAGTAAAAGTGTGAGGGAGAGCTTGGAGCAGTAGTGGCACAGGCCAGGGCCTACTGATATCCCCAACTCTTGATTTTTTTACATGGGCACTGCAGAGCCCCATGTCTCAGCAGAGGTGCTACTGCAGCTACAGGGGAACTCTTGAGGCAGTTTTCCATCCAGGGTCTCCTGTGGAGTTGGGGGAACACTCCCAAGGGGGAATCACACCTGAGCCATGCCCTGTATGATGAAGCACACAGCTCCAGCTTCTGCACTGTCCACATCCCACTGCCCCCACAGCCCTGATGAAGGGTCGTGTCTCACCTGGCACAGACAGGGTCCAAAGAGCACTGAAAGGAGGTGGCTCTTTTTACTGGCTGCTCTTGGCTTCACTGGCTGCTCTTGCCTTGGACTGGCGCACGCTTCGTTGGGTTAGAAACTGGCTGGATAGCCGGGCCCAAAGAGTTGTGGTGAATGGAGTCAAGTCCAGTTGGAGGCCAGTCACTAGTGGCGTCCCTCAGGGCTCGGTTCTGGGGCTGGTCCTCTTTAATATCTTCATCAATGATCTGGACGAGGGCATTGAGTGCACCCTCAGTAAGTTCGCAGATGACACCAAGCTATGCGCATGTGTCAATCTGCTCGAGGGTAGGAAAGCTCTGCAGGAGGATCTGGATAGGCTGGACCAATGGGCTGAGGTCAACTGCATGAAGTTCAACAAGGCCAAGTGCCGGGTCCTCCACCTGGGTCGCAATAACCCCAAGCAGAGCTACAGGCTGGGAGATGAGTGGTTGGAGAGCTGCCAGGCAGAGAAGGACCTGGGAGTGATGGTGGACAGTCGGCTGAATATGAGCCAGCAGTGTGCTCAGGTGGCCAAGAAGGCCAACGGCATCCTGGCTTGTATCAGAAACAGTGTGACCAGCAGGGCCAGGGAGGTGATCGTCCCCCTGTACTCGGCTCTGGTGAAGCCCACCTCGGGTACTGTGTTCAGTTTTGGGCCCCTCGCTACAAGAAGGACATCGAGGTGCTTGAGCAGGTCCAGAGAAGGGCGATGAAGCTGGTGAGGGGCCTGGAGAACAAGTCCTACGAGGAGCGGCTGAAGGAGCTGGGCTTGTTCAGCCTGCAGAAGAGGAGGCTCAGGGGTGACCTTATCGCTCTCTACAGATACCTTAAAGGAGGCTGTAGTGAGGTGGGGATTGGCCTGTTCTCCCACATGCCTGGTGACAGGACGAGGGGGAATGGGCTTAAGTTGCGCCAGGAGAGTTTTAGGTTAGATGTTAGGAAGAACTTCTTTACTGGGTTGTTAGGCACTGGAACAGGCTGCCCAGGGAGGTGGTGGAGTCACCATCCCAGGAAGTCTTCAAAAGACATTTAGATGTAGACCTCAGGGATATGGTTTAGTGGGGACTGTTAGTGTTAGGTTAGAGGTTGGACTCGATGATCTCGAGGTCTCTTCCAACCTAGAAATTCTGTGATTCTGTGATTCTGTGAGAACACCCAAACTGACTGAGGACTGGCCATGAGGACACGGAGCATTCCCTTCATTCCCAGGGAAGTCTGTGGTCTATCAGAGCCTGGATCAGAGATATCACCAGGACACTTATCAGCCTGCTGTGCCTCACATACTACTATCTACTGACGATATTGCAGACAGCTGTGGAGGAAGCTGTGTCCTGTACTCTGAGGGGAATGAAGAAAGACTTCAATGCCTTGGGACGGTTGGTGAAAGAGTCTGGAGCACAAGTCCCGTTCTCTTCCCTCCATCCATTCTGGGGTGGTGACATTGGATGGAATAGAAGGATCTGGTCCATAAATGCTTGGCTCCCTGACCTGTGCTACAGGCCCAGCTTTGGGTTATTTGGTAATGGCTGGTGTTATAAGACAGCAGGCCTGAGAGAAATACTTGGAAAAGGTTTATCTCACAGGGTCCAGAGTGTTCTGGGACAGCAGTTAGCAGGGCTCTTTTTGAGAGCTTCAAGCTATATCCGCAGAAAAATGGGCTTGTAGCAGGGCTTGTCGCAGTGGGTCAGTGCCCCCGCAGAGATGTTCATGTGATTCGTGTCAATATGGAACAATGCTAGGGCCGCATGGTATGATGAATGTGACCTTCTGTCTTACATACACTTAAATAACCACAAGTCTAAGAAAAACAGAGTGGTTAATGTATAGAGTTCTTTTATATTGCAAAGGACCGGTCCAGCAATTCGTGTCAATAGAGAGCTAGAAGGGAAAGCTTTTAGGCTTTTCCTTGAAGTCTCTAATACGCCGGGCGGGGGGGGGGGGGGGGGGGGAGGGGGTGTAGAATAACTGCTAACTATTATGGCTGTTGCATGGGACACTATGCACGTCTCTGATACCTGCCCAGGAGATTAAGGAGAAGGGGAAAGCTGAAGGACAACTAAAAGACAAAGCTTGCAGGGGATGCTGCACAAGTCTCTGACATCCGGCCAAGTTGGACAAAGGAGAAGGACAAGAGGGAGGAAGACTAGGAGCCTTCAGCATGACAGACCCCCAGATTGACCTCCGGAGACTGATACGCATGCTCCAGTGGGAGGGTTTGGATTCTGGAAACTAATTATAATAACCCTGTTTTTTCAGAAGTAGTAATGAATATGTATTAGCCTAGAGCATAAAAATCATCTGCTTGATGTAACTGGTGTGTGTCTTGGTGGAGCAGAGACTGCCGGCGCACCCAGCGCTCTTTGCTTACCTCTATTCCTTTAATAAGTTGTAAACTCTGATTATAGTCCTATTTTGAAGACTGAGCCATTTATTACAACAATAATAATAACAATAGTGGTGATAATAGTACCACTGGCTGGCAGAGGGGCTCAGGCTGCACAGCCTTGCACAAGCAACAAGAGTACAGGGGCTGAACATCGGCAGGGGATGCAGCAGTGGAAGGGACAGAAATGTATTTGGGAGAAGCTGTACATGCTTCCTAGCTTAATGGAGAGCTGCAAAACTACGAGACAAATATGGCAAGGGGAAAAGGGACAGGAGGCCATGTAGGAAGAATACTGCCCTTGAGATACAGATAAAAACAGCAAGAGTTGCGGTGTGTGAGAGGACAGAAATAACAGTGGGGGCTCAAAAGAAGCAGCGGATGTAGCAGGGGCTGAGGCAGGTTACTCTTTGATGAGAGCCTCTGGCTGTGGGCAAGGCTCAGGCGGCCACAGCAAGCCCACAGGGCAGCTCCCTGCTGCACTGCAAGCCTCTGTCCCACCATCCCCAGCTCACAGCAAAGCAGAAACCTGAAGCAGACGCTGCTCCCCAAAAGCAGCGCACCAAAAGATGCTGGGGCAGGCACCATGGGCAAGGCTGTCTCCTTCTGGTCCTGCCGTCCTGCTGCTGGCACTCTGTGAGTTGGGGCATTGCTGGGTGTGGGGGCTGAGGTCTGGAGGGCTGCTGCTGGGGGCAGGACAGGCCAGTGGTGGGCACAGGAGATGATAGGGGCAGTGTGTTGGGCAGGTGTGCAGCACTGTGGAGCAGACTTTGTTTGGGGGAAAACAGGAGGCTATGACCTCTCTAAGCAAAGCTCTCTCTGCCCCATGCTGCAGGTACTGGAGTGACCACCCAGGACATCTGCAGCTCTCCAGGATTTCGGGAGCATGGAGGTGGGTCACGAAAATGATCATGTCCTGGGGAAAGTGATGGGAAGAGAAAGGGGTTTATTCCCTCGCAGTTCCCCCTGGGAAGCCCCAGGAGAGCAGATTTTTCCAGCCTTGGCATGCAGTTGGTTTTGCCACCTGGCCATCACTACTGCTTGCCTGGGGAATCCCTGTGCCTTCTCTCCAGGTAACAGCCAGGCTCCAGTCCTGTACCTCAATGCTTCCAGTGCCCAGGAGGGGGAAATAGTGTTGCTTCGATGTAGCATTGATGAGCAGTTTCCTGCTACGCGAGTTGTCTTCTGCAAGAATGGGCAGGAGGAGTTCAGCCTGAAAGCCCAGCAGGGCAGGCTCATCTACACTATGGACCTGAACATCACCTCCAGAAGTGCTG